AGCAGATCTGGCTTCGCCTGCATCTCCTCAGCTCTCGTTTGCAAACATCTCGTCCTTAGGAAGCTTTGCCAGCTCTTTATGTTGAAAGCTGCTTGTTTTGAAGGCAGGAAGATGATTTAACAGCTGAAACACTCTCAGATTATAGGAAGAAAATGAGGAAACATTCCTCTTGGCCTCAGCCTCTCAGAGCAGCGCTCCACCCAGAGCGAAGCGCCCGGTACCCGCGGCTACAGCCCCCGGTCCCCGCGGCTACCGCTGGGTCAGCGATGTCCTCCCTGTGCTCACAAGTGCGAGGTTTAAATCCAAACATGCGATAGGGTAAAAGAAAATCCCGGGTTGTGGGAGCAGAGCCAGTGTTGGAGCTGATTCCTGATGAGAAGGGGCTGTGGGTAGTGCTGCTGTGCTTCCTATTGGGATAGATCCAAACCCTGCTGCTCCTCGTGTTGGGATGCTGTGAGGAGCAGGAGAGCAAAGCCCTGTGCCCTGCTGGGGTTTAGTGAACCCAAGGAGGTGGCCCTGGTGTGAGCTGGGGTCCTCCTGCCCCCTCTGAACGGCCTCTGCCTCAGTTTCCCTGCTCCTCTCACCAAAATGTTGCTCACACCACAGAAGCTGCTCCTCCTGGTTGGTGTTTTGGGCCTCCAGAGCCAAGCTGTGTCCTGCTGAGCCCCCCTCCAGCACTTTGGGGGTCTCATTTAGCCCCTCAAAAGGCACCCAGTGTCTGCAGGTCCATCCCATCCCCTTGCCCTAACCTGGGAGCAGGGGGGTGCAGCCAAATGCTGGTGTTGTGCACATTTCCATAGCAGTAGCCATGGCTACAGACTGTTTGTGCAAATAACCACTGCTCCCCACCCACGGTCGCTGACCATGGCAGGAATCGGGGCTCGGTGTCCCCTTGGCTTTACCTGCTGCTGGAATTTGGCTTTTCCCAGCTGCTCTCTAGGGCTTTGCTGAAACAAACCCTGACTTTGTCAGCCGGGTGGAGTCACTTGACTGCTTTCAAAACCCCTCGAGTCCGTCCGTGTGACTTTATTAACTGTGGCAGAGGCCGGTGGTGTCCTCCAGCTTCTCCCTTATGGTGCTTTAGGGTAAAAAAAACCCAATTTCCTAGAGCAAAGTGATGCTCTGTGCCCAGCATCAGCCAATGTGATGCTGTTGTGTTTCTCTATGGGTCTGGTTCATGCACAAGAGAGGGGTTTGCCTTGGCAGGGCAGTTTTGGGGTGAATCCTTCATGCAGCGAGGTGGGCTTGGGGTGCTCTGAGCTCAGTGAGGCTCCTGGTGGTGAAGGAGGGAGCTGTTAGAGGCATAATATTGAGCAGGGGCATAATCTAATACTGAGTAGGGGTACAATATAAAACAGAGGTATAAAGTGCCCGCTGGCACTTAAGGAAAGCTGTGTAAAGTGGTAGAGGTCCCCTAGCATGGACACAACACTTAAACACACACATTTTAGTCTCAAAAGAGCCAGCAAGGCTTTGACAGCAGCGACTGCTGTTAGCAAGGCTGTAGGGTGCAGTGCAGGGTGATAGGGTGGGAGTTACTCATGGTTATTCTCATAAATCCCAGGATGTCAGGAGTTGGAAGGGACCTGGAAAGCTCCCCCAGTGCACCCCCTGCCACAGCAGGATCACCAGAGCAGTCACACAGGAACACGGCCAGGGCTTTGGGTGTCTCCACACAAGGACACTCCACAACCTCTCTGGGCAGCCTGGGTCATGCTCCATAACCCTCACACTCACAAACTTTGGCCTCATCTTCAGCTTGAACCTCCTGTGCTCCAGCTTGGGACCACTGCCCCTTGGCCTGGCATTGGCCATCCCAGAGCAGAGCCTGGCTCCTTCCTCCTGACACTGCCCTTTCCCAATGGATCCCCAGGAATGAGGGCACCCCTCAGGCTCCTCTGCTCCAAGCTCAAGAGCCCCAGCTCCCTCAGCTGCTCCTCAGCAGGAGATGCTCCACAGTGTTCACTTCTCCAAGTGATAGCGCTTGTATGGTAAGGAAACATGGCAAGGCCACTGTCTCACCATGGGTGCCGGATCCGCACTTCATCTCTGTGGCCCTGCTGGACTCTTTCAAGCAGTTCCTGTCCTTCTGGAGCTGAGGGCCCAGAACTGGACACAAGATTGCAGCTGTGGTGTGAGCAGGGCAGAGCAGAGGGGCAGGAGAACCTCTCTGCCCTACAACCACCCCTTCCCATACATAAAGATGAGGTGAACCCCAGCCTTTCCCTCCCATGGCACAGTTCAGGTGGGAGAGCTGGTGTTCATGCACAACTGATTACTTTTTCAGGTGGATTTGCTGCTAATTGTGCTTTCAGCTGCTGCTGCTTTGGCTTTGGGGGCCTGGGGAGAATGGCTTGGTGGCAGCACAGGAAAATTACCCTCTGCTTCCAAATACACCCACCAAGATGCGTTTGCTCGGAGCAGGTCCCTGAGCCGGCTGCAGGGCATGGGCTCAGATAAACACATCCACATCAACCAGACCCGTTCCTTGAATTAATGCAAATGTTTTGCAATATATCTGAAAAAAAACCAACCCTTCTCTTGTTTTCATCCATTTGCATCAGGAGAAAGGGTCCTGGGCTACGCGGAGGAGCCTTGCTACCTGTGGTTCGTCATGGAGTTCTGTGAAGGGGGCGACCTCAACCAGTACGTGCTGTCGCGGAGACCCGACCCCGCCACCAACCGCAGCTTCATGCTGCAGCTGACCAGCGCCATCGCCTTCCTGCACAAGAACCACATCGTCCACCGCGACCTGAAGCCGGACAACATCCTCATCACTGAGAAATCGGGCACCCCCGTGCTGAAAGTGGCGGATTTCGGGCTGAGCAAGGTGTGCGCCGGCCTGACGGCTCGGGGCAAGGAAGGAGGGCAGGAGAACAGGACTGTGAATGTGAACAAGTACTGGCTGTCTTCGGCCTGCGGCTCCGATTTCTACATGGCGCCTGAGGTTTGGGAGGGCCACTACACCGCCAAGGCCGACATCTTCGCCCTCGGCATCATCATCTGGGCCATGATCGAGAGGATCACCTTCATCGACGCCGAGACCAAGAAGGAGCTGCTGGGGACCTACATCAAGCAGGGCACCGAGATCGTGCCCGTCGGCGAAGCGCTGCTAGAAAACCCAAAGATGGAGCTGCACATCCCTCAGAAACGCAGGACTTCCATGTCTGAGGGCATCAAGCAGCTCTTGAAAGACATGTTGGCTGCTAACCCGCAGGATCGCCCCGATGCCTTCGAGCTGGAGACCAGAATGGACCAGGTTACGTGTGCTGCTTAAATTCAGGGCAGGGCACCGCTGTGCTTTGCAGCTGGGTAAGTGATCCGCAGCTTTTTGAGATGATCCTGCCTGCCGTACTGGCCCCGATAACGCGCTTTGTAGAGGCACAAAGGAGGCTTTTATGTTCCCAGCTCTTATTTCTGTAGTGACTCATCCCAGCGATGCTGCTGAGGGGTTTTTTTTTTCCCCACCTCTTCTCCTGCAAAAATAAAGCAGAGGTGGGAAGCGGGTTTAGCAGCTGCGGGTCCTGCTGCTGCCCAGGGGGACCTCAGAGGTCCTGAGCAGCGGCTGAGAGGAGCTGGGGCACACAAGGAGACCCCCAGCATCCTCTGATAGGGGTTTGGGTGCTCTGTGTACCCCAAGGGCAGGGAAGGAGCTGTCAGCTCTGCTGTGTGATATAATTTGTGTGGTCAGTGCTGTCTTGGACCATCCCCGTCCCCTCTGAGATGCGGACAGGGCAGCTCGGGGTTTGGTGAGCAGGCACCAGCTCCGTCTCAGCCCAAAGCTGTCACCTCCGAGGCGTGTGGGTCCGTCTCGTTTCGTTTCCTCGCTGAGGACAGGACTTCCCTTCGCTGCCAGCTGCCGCTGGATGCCCTGGGCTTGCAGAGCTGTGTCTGCGCAGGAAGGAAGCTTACAAAACCCCCGTGCTCGCACCGAGCCCCTCCACGCAGGGTCCCCTCCCTGCTTGGTTCCTAAATAGCCCCGGGCTCAGAGGTCCTGGGGGGTCACACATGGTGACACTGGAGCGCTGGGAGGTGTTGCTGTGTGTAAACACGAGCTGTGACCAGGGCTTCTCCCACCCCAGCACTTCAGTGAGTCTGAGAGGTCACGGATTATGAGGAGTGGTGCCGATGTCTTCCCGTCGCTGGTCCCAGGGGAGCTCTGAGCGGTGCTGGCCTTGCAGTTTGGGTTTGCCTCATCCCAAACCCATGCAGATCCTGCCCGGATGGAGCAGAGCACGGGTACGGGAGAGCAGAGAGGGATGAAATGGCTGCAGCAGCCAGCAAACAGCACCAGCCTTGCAGCAAGGTGGTGGGGAAGGTGGGGGGGCATTTTTTTGGGGGAGATTTTTCTAAAAATCTGCCCATCTGAGGGTTTCTGAGCTTGCTGCTTTGTCCAAACTGATCCGCAAACCCTCCCCTCTGCACCCCTGGCACAAAATGTTTCACGCCCTGGAGATCTCCACTGGCAGTAATCGATGTGACTGCTCCCGCCTGCGGCTGCGGCTCCTTACTGGTCCCAGTGCGAGTGCGGGCTGGGGATTTAGGGTGGGGGAGCAAACCTGTGAGCCTTTAAGCTGGGTGTGATCAGAGCCCTGGGGCGAGAGCAGGGGCATCCAACCTCATGCTGTGGGGTGAGAGCAGGGACACCCCGCCTTGTGCTGTGAGTGAAAGCAGGGGCACTCCACTTTGTGCTGCAGGAGGAGAACAAGGGCACCCCATGTTGTGCCATGGGGCGAGAGCAGGAGCACCCCACCTTGTGCTGCAGGGCAGGAGCAGGGGCACCCCACCTTGTGCTGCAGGAGGAGAACAAGGGCACCCCATGTTGTGCCATGGGGCGAGAGCAGGAGCACCCCACCTTGTGCTGCACGGTAGGAGCAAGGGCACCCCACACTGTGCCATGGAGTGAGAGCAGGGGTACCCCACCTTGTGCCGTGGGGTGAGAGCAGGGGCACCCCATGTGCTGCAGAGTAGAAGCAGGGGCACCCCACCTCATGCCATGGGGTGAGAGCAGGGGTACCCCACATTGTGCTGCACGGTAGGAGCAGGGGCACCCCACATTGTGCTGTGAGTGAAAGCAGGGACACCCCCCCTTGTGCTGCAGGAGGAGAACAGGGGCACCCCACGTTGTGCTGCAGGGCAGGACGCCCCACCTTGTGCTGCATGGTAGGAGCAGGGGCACCCCACACTGTGCCATGGGGTGAGAGCAGGGGCACCTCACATTGTGCTGCAGGGCAAGAGCAGGAGCACCCCACCTTGTGCTGTGAGTGAAAGCAGGGACACCCCACACTGTGCTGTGGGACAAGAGCAGGGGCACCCCACCTTGTGCTGTGGGGCAGGAGCAGGGGCACCCCACCTCGTGCCGTGGGGCGAGGCGTGGGTGTGCAGAGGGTCAGGCTTTGCCGCTGCCCTCGCTCCGTGCCGACACGCGACGGATGCAGCCGAGTTATGCAACCGACCCTGCCCTGCGGGG